ACGCCACAACAGTCCCCTCTCAAAATCAAACGATAAGTGCAGGGCCGCAGCACTCTTCGTACGTCACATCTTTCAGGATACTGTCTGCTCCGAAGCACCCTCAGAAAACATGGCTTCACAGGCGCTTCCCCTCCTCTCCCCTCGTTTTTGCACGATCCAAAAGAAAAGTCCGGAAGGAAGTGATGCAACTTCAGAGGAATACTGCTTGCCTCCTACAAAGCCTGTATCCTGCAAACAGCATTCGTGGGTCGTAACTCGGTGCACCTTTCTTTCGCTTCAGCGTTGTCAATGGATAACTCTGACAACAAGGTTGCAAAATGTCACTGTCTTGCTGTGCTGGCCATGCCTATCTAAGCCATCGGCGTTCTGGTTGATCGCAGCAATGGGCCTAAGGAGTCATAATGTCATCGGGAAGGCACGAACCGCAGCGTTCATACATAGCACTGAGGTTTGTTTGCTCACTTGAGGCTGCCGACCATCTGACCCACGTTCACAAAGCAGCTGCCCTGCGTCATGACTTAGCTTGGCCCCTAAGCCTGGCAGCAGCCCATACCGCCAAAAGATTGCACACAGCGAAACCTGCTTTGAAACAACTACACTCCAAGTTTCCTTGGCCTAGCAGGGAAGATTGCTTGTGATGGTCCAGCCCACGGACTGGCCTCCAGGCTCCAAACGAGTTGGGCGAACAGCGCCAGTAAGGCCACTGCCGCATCCTGCAAAAGACTCTACGGAACTCTACGAAACTCTACGAAAGCCGTGTGCTATCATCATCTCCCACCTGTACTCGCGACATCGTAGCGGAGACAACACCTGCCAAAGAGGAAATTTGAGTGGCACAGACTACTAGTACCAGCTGTAGTGGCTGGGGACACGGCATGGCTCGCAACGTCTCTGGCCCCAAATGCTTCCGTAATCTGGCCCAGTGTCCGCCCACGCAACTAGCACTAACTTGTCTCTTCGCTTCACGAGACACTTGTCTTATGAGAGGCTGGCTGAATCACGTCTTGCCAAAGCCACATGAGCCCAGTGGGAGATGATAAAATTATAAAGGCTTGTCCTTGGAATTTGCTTGTGCCGACAAGCGAGCCCTCTAAAGCCAGCAACGATGCGATGGCTCTGATTCCACTGTTCGCACCATTTTCAGCACCTTGCGGCTCAAACGCTGGTGCATGGCGGTCCTAAGACATGACGTTAACAGCTGCAGGTTCTGCAGCAAGGCACTTGGACAGCCAGCGTGTCGCACGCTAGCCTGCCATCACTAACAGGCCCTAATCTGCAAGGGCAGCAACCGGATCCAGTTCGCTTGAACCGCTCTGTCCAGAATTCCACGTCATCCTGTTGGATGTCACTTCCAATTAACCTTCGGCAGCAAGTCGTTTATTTTGAGATGCAAAAGTGAATTCTACTTTTTCTCAGAGTGCGTTTATCCAATCTTGCAAGCGTTGTTTGCGGGACACCTCTCCGAGAACCTCCTTTGCTCAGCGCAACCTTCTTCCACAGGATCAACAACTTTGCCAGTTTCAGTGATCTCCAGTATGCTTCCTGTTCCATGCAAGACCCTGCTGTCCGGAAAGCATGCAACAGAATTCTGCTTGGCACAACTAGCCAGCCGAATTCTTGCCAGGCACTTGTACGGTTGCCCGGATGCCCAACACAAGACGATTTGAGCTTCAAATTCCAAGCCCTCGTGGGTGACCGCGAGCTTCGTGATCGAAGCTTACGGCTTGGACGACTTGCTTGCTTCAGCAAGACTCTAGCCACCTGATGCAGCTGCTCCTGTAGAAGCCACTCTGCTACAAGGAGGTCACAAAAAATCCTCAGATGCAAAATCAGATGTTTCTATCGGTTGGAGTTTGCAAGCCGGCCTTGGCTGGAGACACCCGCAAAGCCAGAGGCAGACATTACTGACGCCGTGCGAAGCATGTATTGCAATAAAGCGAGGTTGTCGGGGTCTCGCTAGCCAATGGAAAATTGGCCCAAGCCCTCCCCTTATCAGGTCGCGACTTGACGCTTCAAAACTCCGAATTTTCTGCAGCTCCGAGGATTGACGAATGTCTCAAGCTAGGGGACTTGGTGGCTAAAGAAAGCATGGAGACTACAGAGGGAAGTTGGATGCTTGCTGTCAACACTGTTTGAAGGTTTGCCAGCCTTGTGCAGGAGGTTCCCGGAAAATCTCTGGGAGCAGGGCAGCTCAAACTTAGAGGCATGCTGACATAAGGCCCACGGTGACCGTGAAGCCACAAACGGGACATGGCTGTTGCCAAGCGGAGGCCACTTACTGCACAGCTTTCAAGACCTCACAGCATCTCAGAGCAATGCAAGACGGCTGGACAGTTTAGTTAAACGCTTTTCCCAGGACCTAGGCCGTAGGCGTTCATGTATCAATGGCTCAGTAGCTGATATCTGCTAAGAAAAAAATACATCATGCACCCAATCCAATTCAGGTCTGCTGCTGCCATGCATGCGTCTGTATGTTTGTGAGGTTTTTAGATCACCTTTCAGGGTTGCAGGCATAGCAAGCTCTTGTCTTCATCCCTGCCTGTCTTGCAGCCACTCCAAGATCCGACGCTCCGCGGCAGATGCCTCGCGCACCACCCCGAAAAAACGAGCATTTTACATCGCACAGAAGCAGACTTCGCTGACTGTGTGGAGGTTCGCTCCCAAGGTCCAAACTCAGTCTAAGCAGCAGCATGGCCACCTTGCGTGCGCGTATGGCTGCGCAATGTATGAACTAAGGGTTGCAGTCAGTGGTCGTGGCCAAAGCCAACGTACAAAAAGGATGATTACGTCTCAAGGACAGTTTCTTCGGTCATTGTTGCCATCAAACAGACCTGCTGCCTGTCATATTGGCCGGGGGCAGGACACGCATCAAAGGCGTCACGGCCGGACAGCTGTGCACCTTATCAGCATTTAGAAACATGTGCAAAGCTTGGAATGTCATGGCATTCCTTTGAGAGTTTTGCCCTCTGCGCAATGACAACCAAAGCCAGGCGGAAGCAGGATGTCGACCTCAACACATGCGTGCTTTGTATGCGAGATGATTTGAAGTGGCTTCTTCTTGCTCCTCCCCTATCGAAAAGCAGAGCTAGTAAAATTGCAGAACCAGCTTGAGTTGCCCACATCTTGCCCTCCTGCGAACCACGGAGAACACTCGTTTGGTACTGGACGCAGCCGGTGAATATGCGCTGTAGACACCTGGGGCCAAAGGGGTATGAAATGCAGCGATTGCAATGTTGCTTTCGCAATATGAGAAGCTCTCTGGTATCTTGGAACAAGCATCGGACTGGTGGCTGAGTTCGGCTGACAGGTCCGACCTTAGAATCCAGCGGACAGAGGACGGATGGTTCTTTGTGTGGGCGTGTCGTCAGGTACTAGTTAAGAGACTCCACTGCGAAACAGAAAGGCCGCAGCTCGGCGGCAAAGCGCTGCATCGACTTGGCATTCCAATATCCCTTCCTGCCGTGTTGCAAGCCGTCCAGTGGCTTTTGGCACGGCTAGTGCTGTTCAAGCAAAAGATGCACAACCTTCATGCAATGCTTAAAGGGCCCACTCTACTAAGCAGTCGAAGATGCCGGTCAAGGACCCATCAACTGGCTAACAAAACTCGCAGACGTTACCAGAGGCGGAAAACAAGCAGCCTATTGCGCCCCAAGCAGCTGCGAGACTAAGGCTTCAGTTTGGTCATGCCCAAATTGCAAGCCTGTATGGCTCTCGCCGGGCAGGGCTGGCAGCAGCATAACCTCCCGGCTGCTCGTTGCACATCTTGCATTGACCGTTGCCTGACTTTCCCAAACTGTGCGGCCAGACGTGCGAAAACGATGTCCAGACCTGGCCGACAGGATCTTGGCTCGTGAAACTCCCGTGGTGCCCATACTGCAACAGAGAAGGGAAAGCTATGTGAGCGGTAGCTGCATCCCCTCGTTCTGCACTCTGTTCTGCGCTTTTGACTGGTCGAGTTAAGCAAGCAATGTATTTGCCAGGTGGGATGAGCCTCGCTGGCCGCTGCGGAGCAATGCCTCAACTTTACAGTCATGCGCTTGCCATTTCCGATTCCACTTTTCCGATTCCATTACACTTATCAGTGGTAAGAACATCAAGCAAGATCCGGGCTGACACTTCTTGCTGGCGCAGAATTTCAACACCAGACCTTGCAGCTCGAAAAGCCAGATTTCTTCTCAAACATCCGTAACTGACGGTCAACTTTCGAATTGTGCCTCACAGTTGGGCTGGGAAGATCCTCAAGTTGACTCTACACACTGATGCGAATTGAACCGGGGTGAGGGCTCATTTTTGTAACATAGATTGGGGTTATGTTAGAACACACAAGAAAGCCGATGGTGCCATTTGGAAGACGAGGATCTCATATTCTATTACGCCCATGTTCGCGTACACGCGCGACGTCCGGTGCATCCACGTGTCAGCTGGCCCGACTAGTCTGCAAATCCCACGGATTTTAATTCAAAGCACTCTAGTGGGCCCCTGAGTCCAACGGTTTGGCGTAAGCCTTGCCCCATTTGTCCACGAGTTGGGGGCGTCCTGATGCACGCCATTAGCCGAAAGGAGTCCTGATTTTAATTCACAGTCGCCCCATAGACTGTTGTCAAGTACCGTAGTTGAAAGACTCCACGAAGCCAAGAAAGCGGTGTTAGCTGAGAAACACATGAACACGCAACGAACAACCAACACATACCCAAAAAACAAGATATTCTAGCTGCATCACTAAATTGTGCACCATCACCAAACTTGCTGAGTGGATTGTACTACTCGCCTCCAAGTCCCCAGCAGGACATCCTCCTCGCTGATGCCCAGCGCTTCAGCCAGCGGGACTAAGGCCCATTCACAGAACCTTATGTTTGTTGATCCCCTAATAAGGCACGAGGCTTTAAAAATCAAAATGAAAGTCCAGGCCCACCAAAAGAAAAGAAAAATTAGACATCGGCAAAAAATCGACAAATACATTAAATTAAAATATCAAAATAGGCCGAAGGACAAAAAAAATCGAGACAGGAAAACCAATGATAAACAAAAAAATCGATAAACATCAACCAAAAATCGACCAAGCCAAAAGTCTGATCGATGTTAAGTCGATGCTAATTGGAGTTTCTAATTCTTATCGGCAACCGAAGATCTGAGCGAGGTTTTTTCGCTTCCATTTATTCTGGCGATGTTAAGACGGCTCCGTCTCACTAAGGATCGAGAAACATAATTAGGACAATGCTTCCTGCCGCCCGAGGCTCCAAGGATCAGAGGATTCTGGAGGAAACAAGATCACGTACTTATACTCTGCTTGAGCTGCATGCAGGCTCGCGGCCAGTTGAGAAGTTCTGCGCAGCTGAACTGCAACTCTGGCGCACCGTCCACGCCTCGTCAACGCATAGCTATGCAAGGATGAAGCAAGCAGTGCAGATCTCCTTGGCACGGTGCCTGGGCCATACAATGTCCCTTCACATGCCAATCCAACTCGTCAAGCCTACCCAAGTAACAAACTCTTTCGGATAAAAACGTGCCTTTCCGCAGCCCCAAGTACAACATAGCAAAACTGGAACGAAGCAAGACTGAAGCAAGTCACCCGTACCTCCAATATAAAGTACACCTTGGTTATGCGGCCCCGCCTGCCAACACACATTGTTGCGCCGCACCGGCCAATGCCCTGCTCAGGAACGTTCCATCACAGCTCCCACATGCCCACAACATTAAGAATTGATGAACCCACAATCACGCAGCCTAAACCAGCCGTCTTTTGTCATGTGGACCTGGCCAGATCAAGTCTGGATGACTGGATGCAATGCAGCTCGCAGAATTTTATCTACAGAGCAGAGAGGGGGTATTGTTCAATAGCCCGCATTATTTGGCCCACCTCGTGCTGCTTCGTAGCCTGCACGTAGAGGAGGTCAGCTGCAGCACGTGTCCTGCGGGATCGGCGTGGGTACAGCATCAGGAGTGCGCATACATCTTCCTTGAAATGGTTGCCAAACTTGCCTGTTATATCCTGTGCCTGTTATCCATGTCTGGATCCTTCTGCATCCGTGTTTCATGTCCACAGCCCCCTTCTCGTGATTGGGAATGGGTGGCAGCTGCTTGACTAACTTCAGGAAGTCCTCACACTTAGTTTCTTCTTTCTCAAAAATAAAAACGTTTCCTCAACATCACCTTGTCCCACGGTAGACGTGTCCCGCAATCTTCACGCATTTCTGTTTGGCGATGTGTGCATGACATATGGGGCGTACCATCAGGATGGCGTACCCTCAACTTATCCCAGACTTGCATCTTAAATCGTTGGTTACCGCTCTCCGTCAAGCTCATGGTCTGTCATCCACCCTCAAGTTGTTCATGTACTCTCGCTTCCATGTTTACTTTATATCCACATGGACACCTAGCTTGTACTCGAGCAGTATGCTGCTTGCAGCCTCGCAGTTGCAAGAGTCTACACAACCAAGGCTCATGCTACCACTTTGCAATGGGCACTGCCCTCACCATGCACAACCATGCTGTACCGTACTTGTCTGAGGCGTTGACATCACTGGTGATTGGCAAAGACGGAGTGGCAACCTCAAGGGAAATTCTCACAGTCCCCATCCCTCCTGGAAGAAACCTCTTCGGCTACTGAGCAGCCCAGAAGTCTCGAAGTCTGAAATTAATCATTTACTTCCAGGTGACTCCTTCTTCAAGTCCAAGTAAGGGACAGGATAGATCGGGGGCCACCTGGTAATACCAAGAACGGCAACATGAATCTAGTTCTGCGGAGCTTACACTTCCCAAGCTTGCTTTGCAGCTTGGCTCGCCTTTGATGGGGAATACAAGCACGAGAAGCACCTCGGGCCCATACTTGCCATGTTCCGCTGCAGAAGCCTCCGCGCTCTCGCCGAAGCCGGGTGTGAAAGAGTCCGAGCGCAAGAAAGTCTTGCTTCCCTGCAGCTAAACGTGGACTCAAGGCTGCCGCTGCCACCAAAGTCCTACAGCCAGCCTTTCGGGACACTCGCAGGGAAGAGGCTGACGATGTGCGACGCATCTTAGGTGCGCAAGTGCTGTCTGCCGGGCGCTTGAAGATTCACCTCCTGGCTCAGAGGCACACGAAAAGCCCAGGTGGAGTTCGACCTCAACAAGACTTCTCAACAAGGAGTATTGCTGAACGGTCAAACCATGCAGTTGCATCAACTCAGCAAAACACGATCGAGGCTCTCTGGTTCGGCCGGAGCTACGCTGGGGACCTTCCTAGCGACTCGCAACGTCATGAGAATTGGAAGTTGCTGAAGCTAAGATTCTGGCACCATCGCATCTCCTCCATCACCTAGACGGAAATATACGCGCACAATCTGAAGGGCAACAATGAAAGCACTATTTCATCAGCAAAACACTCACCACACCAACTCCTGGAACAAGTCATTACATATTCGCAGCGCGTTGTAGCAAAGTGGCCGGGGGGCAGAATGCTGCAGTCTCTCAAGAAACTTCGGAACCTGCCGAAGCTGGCACGCTGGCAGATTTCTGTGGAAGTCCGAGACTCAACCGGCAAACTACGATTGATCCGACAAATCGTCTCTTACAGATAAAATTTCATCACGAACCACACAGAATCCGCAAAGAGCTGTGACAAAATAGCATGACAAAGCCATCTCCCACCTAAGGACCTAGGGTTTTTCTGGCCGCGCTAGGTGAACTCCGCTGAGCCTTGCCTGGTACGGCTGAGGCCGATGCCACCTGGAGCCGTGCAGTCACCGCCGGCCTTGGGTAAGAAGCTGAGCTCTTTTCCTGGATGGTCCACGAACGAGGTTCATCCAAGCACATCAGTACCATCATAAAAAACGAGCCATACTGAGTGATAAATTTGGTGGAAATGCCAAGGCACATAATGTAAGAAGACGCGTCCTGGCAAAATGGGGATCTACGCAGGCAAATCTGCAAGCACATGCTCAACCCCTTGGTTGTATCTTTCCCTGGTCCCATCCTGCCAGTCGCTGCAGATCCGGCAAAAACTCAGGAGGTCCTGCGCCAGCCTGTATGATGGCGCTTACATCGAGGTAGCGCAAGTGACATCTACCATGATAGTAAGCACAAACTGGAGCAGCATCAGTAGCAAGATCAACAACAAGAAGGGTGCAGCCTCCCCTCCTTTCACTGCATCATCCAGCCTGCATGGCTTCAAGTGCTAACAACACACGTCAGCAGTTTGGGCGTTGCACAAATTTATGGACCTGGCTGCAGGATCTGAGCAGACAGCAGCTTTGACAGGCACGCCCAAGCCTGGTGTTCGCAGGAGCTCCCGCAAAAGCTGGCTCGGCCTTTGGCAGTGACAGGTTGCCGCAACATCCGCAACGAAGTGGCTGCATTGCTCTGGAGCTAATGTTGAAAAATTCACGTGCAGTTCTGAAGTTGCGCGTTCACTGGTTCCTCAGGAAAGCAGATCCCCATCCCTCATGCAACCTAACAGATA